CAACCTTCCTTCCGAGGAGTGGCTGGTGGGTTTGAACCGCCAGCCGTCTGGTTAGCAGGCAAGTGTCTTAGCCACTATGCTACCAGAGCTCCCCCCACAGGGCCTAGTCGGTACTAATTCCTTTCCTCAGCACTGTACTGTTAGAGGAGAGGGTGAGGTGAGGCTGGTGAACAGGGAGAACATTCTCAAAAGGCAGCAGCCATACTTTCCAGTGGCCCCAGCCACTTCTGGTCTCAACTCAGCTATACGTTTAAAGAAAAAACATGGCCTAGGCCAAGTAGCCCTACCTGTATTTTGTTTCTGTTTTTTTAATGAGGGTAGTGGGGGAAGGAGTTCCTGGGGCGTACACATGGTTAACGTGCTTAGCAGTTAACCAAAAGGTCGGTGGTTAGAGCCCACCCAGAGGCACCCTGGAACAGCATGGTGATTCACTTCTAAAAAATCAGCCACTGAAAACCTCGTAGAGCTCAGTTCTCTGACACGCATGGAGGCGCCATGAGTCAGAGTCGACTAGACAGCGGCTGGAGGAGGAGGGAAGAGCATGGCCGTGCACTGAGCGTCTGAGAAGGGGCCCTCGGCAGAGATTACTCATTTCATTTCTTGTGAGGGTAGGCGTTCTGGTGGCATAGTGCTTAAAGCATCTGACTGCTAACCAGAATGTTGGCAGTTCAAACCCACCAGCCACTCCATGGAAGGAAGATTGGGCAATCTATTTCCATAAAGATTTACTGCCTCAGAAACCCAAAGGGAGTCACTATGAGTCGGAACTGACTCAATGACAGTGAGTCTGGTCTGAGGGAGGAGCTGGCTCCGTTTTGCAGGTGGGGAAACAGGGATGTGAGCCTGGAGCACCCAACTACTGCAGGGCCGAAGGCGATCTGGAGGATGCCCGTCTGTCCTCAGCACAGCCAGGACTGAGGCCTGGGGAGACAGGCTGTTTCCACGGTGAGAGAGAACGATGAGATCACTCAGCAAAGGGTGGTTCAAGTCCAAGTCTGCTTGCTCCACATAGCCTCCTCCTCTCAACATGGAAATGGTACCCACCACCTCGGCTGCCAACTCTTCCTGTTTGGAAGGCACAGTGGCCCCTCACGGGTTTGTGGGGAGAGGGGATGAGATGAGTCCTGTCCAGGCAGTTCACTTCCTTGGCCTCATGTGAGGAGGGTGGCACCCAGCTCTGGAGCCAACAGAGCCCACCCTGACAGCCGCAAAGGGTGCAGAGCGCTGAAGGGCTTCTGCTGCATCACCACCTCCTTCCTGGGAGCAGGGCTCTAAGAGTGAGGCATCAAGTGTCACCTGGGGGTTGTGCTGCCTCCTGCTGCATGGCTCAATGAGAGAGAACAGGAGCTGTGTGGGCCTCGCCAGCTAGTCTGCAGCGCCCAACCCCACAAGACACAGGAGCTGAGCTCAGAACGCCCTTGCTCTTAATTCCAACAGTGAGGATGGCAGCTCCCACTCACTGAGGCCGAGCAGGGGCCAGGACAGTGGGAGGTGTTTCACATGCCTCACCTCACTTACCATCTACAACAACCCAGTAAGCTGCTTTTATTTCCTGATGAGAGAACAGAGGCTTACAGAAGTAAAGTGCCTTGCATACAGTCACCCAGCTCGCTAGTCTTGGTTGGGCTAATCTTGGTCCTAGTCTGCAGGCCAAGACCCAGGTGCCTCTGGCTCCTTGTGAAGCCCGCAAATAAGGTTTCAAAATGACTATACCAACTGTAAGAACTCCGTGAAACGATGCCCTCCTGCAACCAGGTTTTGCCATAAAGGTAGACCTGGTTCTGGCCCGCTGGTCCTTATCCTTCAGAGCAGGCAAGGACAGACTCAGAACTTGGCCAGCTGGGTTTTTAAATGCAGCTCTGCAGTCATTTGACTTCTCTGAGCCTCGGTTTCCTTGTTCTTAAAACACAAGAAAGCAGTCACGTCACAGGACTGTTGAGAGGAGTAAATGAGATGTGTGTCAAGCCTCCTAGTGTTTCTGTTCCACGGATCTTGGTTCCTGATGCTCTCTCCGATACCGTATCCTGATGCACTGCCGGTGTTACATGGCTGGCCTGATTACATGAATGATACCTGTAACATTCTCTTGCACATTTTAGTTTTGTTGTTGTTGTTGTTATGTGCCGTCGAGTGACCCCTCCTTGGGTTTCCGAGGCAGTATCACTACGGAAGTAGGATTGCCCAACCTTCCTTCTGAGGAGTGGCTGGTGGGTTTGAACCGCCAGCCTTCTGGTTAGCAGTCAAGTGCCTTAGCCACTATGCTACTAGAGCTCCCACATTTTAGTTTAGTGCTCCTTAAGGTGCCTACCTCATACACAGCTTTCCCCAGCATCTTCCCCACAAACTCAAAAAGCTGCAGGTAATTCTCATGGATATAGGAGGTGGGTGAAGGGTACAGTCTCTCGTCCCCACTGGTGGTCTGCAAGACAAAAGGGTGGGGGGAAGCAGAGAGTTTAACCTCCCAGTTACGAGCATGCCCAGATGCTTTGCTTCTCATCTGTCGCTTCAAATTTCACTGCCACCCACCCTGCTCTTGGGCCCCTTTGATACCTTGAACAGATTGAGTGCTGGGTCGAACACCCTCTTGATGATCTCTTCTAGGAACTCCTTGAAAACGCCGTCCTGGTCGATCCCTGCCTCGTCCACCCCGAGGTCATTGACAAACTTCACGCGGATCACGCCCTTCATGGCGTGGTGGGAGAGCTGCCGAAGCTGCTCGTAGCCATCCTGCCCAGAGCAGAGGTGTGGCCCATTAGGATCCCAAGGCCTCCTGCATCCTCCAGGGCGCCCTCCTAAGACCCTCCGGGCCTTCATGATTACTAAATGTGCAAGTCAGGACACACAGGGGTGTGAGGGAGGGTGGCTCTCGTTCGCTTTCCAACGAAAGCCTGTTACAAGGAAGGATTTTGAGAATGTGATGTCACTGCTCTTTGGCAAAGGGAGGCTGTTCTCAAGAGCAGGCAAAGCAGTGAGACAGGGACTCAGATGAGTGAGGACAAGCTCTCAGCCATTAGGATGGAAGAATCTGGGGCAACGTACTAAGACTATCTTTCATTCACGGTAAGAAACAAAAAAGACAACAAAATCAAACTCATGGAACGTTGTAAAATGAAACCTAGAAGGAATCTCCATCTCTGGAGCTCTCCGCCACCCATGACGGGCCTTGTGAGTCATGCTGAGGAGCTCAGATTTTATCCTGAGGGCAAAGGGGAGCCACAGAGGGTCTCTGTCGGGGAGAGACCTG